TGAACCTGCACCAGTTTAATGATCTTTCCTGTACTGTGGACTCCAAAACTGGACACAGTATTCTAGAGGTGGTCTCAAAAGTCTGTCCAAGGTGCAGGACTTTGCATTCATCCTTGTCGAATTTCAGAAGACTCTTGTTGACCTCTTCCTCCAGTCGTCTTATGGCAGCCTTGCCCTCCAATGTGTTAGCTGCACCCCCAGTTTGGCATCATCTGCCAACTTGATCAGGGTGCACCCCACCTCCTGCTCCAGGTAACAAAGACATTACACAGATTGGCCCCAGGACAGGACGCCAATTCTCGCCACACTCACTTCTCAGGAAGGGTATGAACCATAATGGTAACAGGGTTTGAAGCTGAGCACTCAGAACCTCCTGCTTGTTGCCAAAAGTGTTGTAAGTCATGTAAGTCATATCAAGCCAATTTTTTTCCATGTCTCTTTAAATTTAGACCTTAAATTTAAAGGTCTGAATTAGGTGTCTAAGATAGTTTCCTATGGTCTTTTTACAGTCCATGGTGGTGGTGGTAGAGGATAAATTATTCAGATGATTAATCATTTATTAATCATTTGTTATGTTATCTTTTATTTGTTACCTATCTAGTGATCTAGATAACCACTTATCAAAGTCTAGGGAATGTGTTGACCAAATTCCTGAAGTTTCCATGAATGAAGACAGGCCAGATGATTTTATTTCTTGCTTACAATAGATCAGTGTAATATTGACCAGAAATATTCAATATCCCACTTCATAAATCAGTGGATTTGCATTAGATTGTACCAGCTACACTGTGAACTAGATTTTGCCTTGATCCAGCATGGATTTCTGGATTTTAGATTATGTTCTTTATATGTCACTGTAGTGGGATTTTGAATACCATCACACAAGTGAAACTCAAGGCTTCTAGTCTCAAAGTTTTTGGTTTTATTCTCTCTCTGAGACAAGAGACAACAAAAAAGAAAGAGGGGCAATGCTGAAAGCAGAAAAGATGTGTAAAAACCTTAGGGCTTGTTTTCATGTAAAAGTTTTTAACGCAGGGCATTAACGTGACCTGTAGTTATTCCTGTCTATCAGTGAAGCCTTAGGCTTGTAATGGATTCCTATCTGCCGGGCTTATACCAGTAGGCAAAAAGTTTGAAGTAAGCCTGGGAGACGATTTTTTCAGGTGGAGACTGATTTTCTATAACAAGTACATAGAGAATATTTTCTTCTCGTTCTGCCTTCCTGGGGGCACTATGAAAACTCTTATGAGGTCGGAGAGTCCTCATCAAATAAAGGCTTTCCACCACTCCTTGTGCTCTGCAAAAGAAAAAGCTCAGGAAAACTTTAGGTGTTTCTTGTGACTTCTAAAGGGTTTTAGCTGTGGGTCCTGTGGTTATGTCTTCTTTGTACTGGCTTGCCAGCTGGTCCTAGGAGCACACAGTATCTTAGGGGACTCAGCAAAACCCATCCCATTGCTTTTGCCCTCATGTTAGGTGACATTAGGACTCTGTAGAAAGGACTGTGTCTGCCCAGTACTGGCCATACGCCATCTCCATTATGCTTACTTCAGTTATTCCCACTTCATCTCAAAAATAAAATTAAAACTTAGATAGTAAGAGATATGAAACAGAAATTATATAGGACACCATCTCAGAAAATTGATGGTTCAGGGGTATGACCATGATACATAAAATCGTGAATGATGTGATGAAGGTAAACAGGGAATGGTCATTTATTATTTCTAACAGTACAAGAACTAATTAAAATAGCAGGCAGACAGCTTAAGAGTAACAAAGGATGCATTATTTTTACACAAATCATAATTAAACTGTGGAACTGAACACTTTCAAGTCAACCAGGTTTGTGGAAGAAAGATCTGTAAAAGGCTATTAGACACAAGCTCTGGTTCACCACCTCCCAGCCTCCAGATTTGTGCAACTGGGGAGCAGTACCGCTCTGGTACCGTTCCTTTTTGTATAGTCCTTACATAAGGACAGTCTTCACTGTCCTTACATATTCCCTTGTGCTCATGATGGAGTTTGGATACTTGACTGCACGCACCTTTTGTCTAACTCCATGCAGTTATTGTTATACTGTTATGCAGAAGGAAATTTAGTGACAATACATTTATGCATACATGGCCAGGCCCTCAAAATGAGACTAAATAAAATAACCATAGGACAAATTCCCATCTACTAGACATCTAAATGTTTGTAGATTTATAAATATTTGCATTTGTTTGTGCCCACAATAAGAAAAAGGGGAATCTGGACAGCCAGGTTATAAACAGGGCCTTAAATGTCTTGGAAATACTCAAGATTGGTACATCAGTTGAAATCTGCCAGGATAAGGGAGGTGACTATGGCTTTGATAAATTTTTCTCTGAAGGCAGTTTCATTATCGTTTCAGGCACCAAAAAATTACTATTTTCCCTTGTGAAGGAGATGATCTCCTGTGGGAAGTGCAGTGATTCCTCATTTTGCTCTTTTGACTGGGGATCTCATAATGGTCTAGGAGGATGGCAATTATTCCCACCAGCCTGCAGATCAAGGCACCCAACAGATCAAGTGAAAACAAACAAAAGGAAGTTGTAATCAAAAGCTCTTGCTAGTGATTTGTGTGGAATCTGCAATATGTATTAATATTTTCTACTTTCCCCTTCTGGGCATGACTCAGTGGGAGCCTTTCTGTGACATTCCCCTGACTATCTTTTTTACAAAGGAAAGAGAATTTGAAATGGAGAAAAGATGATTTTTTAATCTGGGACTGTGCTTTCAGTGTGCTGGTACAGAGATCTGATGCTCAAAGGCTACATCTTTCTCTAACACACTCAGAAGGGGTTTATGGTTTGACAGAGCTGATCTCTGCACCTTAAGCTTTTGATTCACACATTTATAAAACTGTCTCTTAGATTCTTTTAATTAGTGGCAGGCTGCTCTTGGAATAAAAAAATAATGATTATGCACAGGAGCTGGCAGGAGTCTTCCTAACTCATTGGGCCAGATGCTGCTCTGCGAGTTCAAAGGGAGCCGCGAATGCTCGCCACCTCTGACAACCAGGCCACTTTTATTTAGGTATCCTTTAGACAGAGAAATGTGACATTTGTGGGTTTACGCTGTCTCTGTTTGCTTTTGCATCTGTTCAACGAGATCTGAGGACAGTGCTTTCCTACCTCTCAGTGGGGGTTAAGTTTAAAAAAGGGAGAGCCATCACAAAGCGACCTATTTTGTTAACAGCAAGGAAAGGATTTGGTGGCTCAGAAATATGCAGGGGTAATTTTGGCATCCCTGCCCTGACAGGCTGTTGAGCTGATCGTGACTCATGTCGTTAAGATGATTTTAACATTCAACGCCAGCTGATGAAAATTGAGTTAAAGGGAAATTAATTTTACATTCAAATGATAGAAGAGCATTGGAAGCTAACTCCAGAGAGGGATCACAAGGAAGAAAAACTTGCATGCCCTGATCTCCAGGGAAGAGTGAGAGAACTACAGTATTTTATTCAGCCATCTGGAAGGAATCAATTTGTGGCAGTTTCTGAGACTAATTCATCAGGAAAATATTGTACATAAGTGACACAGTGCACATGAGGAGCCTGATGAATGTAAAACTAAAGGACTGGAGAAGGACTGACTAGTGAGGACCCTGGCCGCCAGATGGGCAGCCCATTCCCCGGACAGCCCAGCTCCCTTTTATTTGTTGTTGTGGGAAAAATAAAGGAAAACACTGACAAAAGGACTTAGTAAACTCACTGTGTCCAGGCATCAGGCATTAAATCTGACCAGTTGCTCTTTCACACAAGCTCCTCACATAGAGGGGGAACTGGTCTCCTCCACTGAGCAAACAGAGACCACATGCTAACCTGGCTGGGAAACAGGCTGACTCAGGGGAACATGTTGCATCCTTGGAACATCTCAATAATATTTACAAAACCAAATCCACGCTGATTATCTACAGTTGCAGGGCTTGGCTGCCAGGGTGGGTCAACTCTTCTCCTTTTGCCAGTACCCCTGCAGTGCTGATGAACACGAGGGGCCAAGGCATCCGTAGCTCTGCGGCTGCCTTGGCCTCTCGCCCATCGGTGGGGTGCAGGCTGAGGGGCACCTGGCAGGACTTCGGACCTGCTGAGCAGCTGCAGCCCCCTCAGGCTGCCCAAAAAGGCAGCTGGAAAAAGCTTGTGATTTCAGTGCAATTTTTTTCTTGACATCAACTCCTGCAGATTGGCAGCCACTGGCATGACTTCTTTCCAGCGAGATTTTAGGCATCTTGACACTTCCATAAACAATGCAGAAATGCTACAGAAAGTCACCAAGATCCATGTACTTCCTAGAGCACAGGTCTCCTTCACGCAACTGAAGAAACAATTCTTCCTGGTCCCAAAGGAAAGTCCTTAGTCAGAATGGGGAAAGGAGGCTGTTATTACTGGGGCAGCCCCACATGATGCCCCTAGGCTAGTTTCAGACTTGGAAACAGCAGCGGAGTTTGCTGCATTCCAGGGTGGCCTTGCGAACTACAGCCCTGCACACACAGACCTCGAATAGCTGTAACATGTAACTTTATATGGATGTTATACACAGGCATCTGGGCAGAATTCACCTTTCGATGCCACAGTGCGCTCCCACAAGTCTCCGTGCATGGCAGGGGATGTTTAACCAACGCAGTTATCACATTAGAAGCAGCTATGGCAACAAATGTTGTATCTGGAGAGGCATAATGGTTTCCAGTTGAGCCTCCTGGGTCAGGGTTTAGGGGTGGAATTTTTTGCCATTTGGGTTCTTCTCAGTTGAGAGATAAGGAGGAGGGCACGTTCTTACTTACCAAACCACCTTGGGGCCTCCCCTGGGAGAATCTCTCAGCTGCTCTAGAGAAAGTAGCAGATGTCATGGTCATCCAGGAGCTCCTGCAGTTGGAATGCAATATGCTTGGTGCCGGACCTCTCTACTCCCATCCCATATTTCCTGTGCAGGAGTTCTGAGAAAGTCAGCACTGAGGTTTTGTGGCAGAGCAGATTTGGCTGGGAGATCACCTTGTGATGGAGCAATGCTCAAAGAGCCACTTGTGCTGAACTTCTTGCCTTTCTATGAAATCAGTGGCACAAAGGGGTCAGCATAGTATGGAGAATTGATTTATTTGATTTTTTTAAGTGCCTTTGAAACTTCTGGGCCAATATTTTCTATGCTCAGGCCCTGATGGAAGATTGATAGTTTTTGTACATACGTGGAAATTTGAGATAAAATAGTTCTGCATGCAAAGAGAGGATTTATCTGCATGCAAATAGTCAATTATATTTGAGAAAAAGAAGATTTCTTTTTAAAACAGTCTTCCTGACAAAGCTGTTGGGAATAAAAAAATGAAATTTTCTGTAGAATTATCTCCATGCTATGCTGAATTTGTTTACTATTTGCATGAGATAGAACTTTTTGAAAATCATATGCTGTGCATAAAATACACAGCCTAAGAAAGTCACCCTGTGCTTCATAAACTGCTAAATGATGTAGGAGAGCCCAAAGAGCTGGGAAAAACAGCCAGAGCAGTCATTTCTTGTGCGGCTCCCTCCCACAGAGCCCTGCTTGTGTGAGCAAACCTCTTCTATGACCTGCTCTGCTGTTCCCAACGCTGCTTTTATACTTCAAGAGCATTAATTACATAGTTTCTTGGGCTGCAGGGCGAGCTGCCCAAATAACCAGGGCTTTTCTTTTTTAACCTTCTATTTCTTTCAATCCCTAAGGATGGGCTGGCATCAGAAGAATTTAAATGAAGAGAGGCAGCAGCAGGAAGCAGAAGTTACTGAAGCTAATCCAGCGTATCACTGTCACGGCTACTCGCAGGCCTATGAGAACAGAAAAAGGGAGCAGCATCAAGCCAGGAGGAAGCTCTGTGTAGCATCAGTAATTTGCATCTTCTTCATGATTGCTGAGATTACAGGGGAGTATGTTTACTCGAAGAGAGCTTAGTTTGGTGCCCAGCACACCCGTATTCATGCCCTTTTGTACGCACTCTGACTGCAGGGACCCATGAAGCACAGAGGTGAACCCACCTGGCATAAAATAACTCTCCTTTCTCCTCAATCTTTAAAAGAATTGTGGGGTTTTTTTAAAAGTGAAATTATAAAAATATTTTCATATATTCATTTAAGAATTGCATCTGGGTAGGAATACAAAGATCAGTTAATGGTCTGAACTGTTCTCCCAGGTCTTTAAGCTCTGCTAAAAGTGGCTAGCATGTCTTAGTATTGTGTCACAAAAGGTTTCTAATATATTGGGTTACATTTTTTTGGAAAAGATTAAAAGATTTTACATGTTTATCCAGGCCAATGAGACCTCAGCACTGATGAAAGCTGCTAGCAGCAGGATCTGATATTAAATACAACAGTCTTGACAAAATCCCGGGAAATCCAGGGCCAGATTCACCATCTGCTTTTCTACAGTTAAGTCAATGTATTTATACCAGGGCACGTTTATCCTTTAAATTGGCCTGCTGGTGTGTCTCTGGATCAATGGAAGATTATTCCCCTGTCTAATTAGCTTTCACTTCTGGACTCATCCTACAATATCCAATATAAGTATTTGGCTCGCTCATAGAGCATTAGCTTTTATTTTGTCCCACTGATCTGCTCTCTGCATGGCTTTTGTGATATTTATACCCATCTGATAGTTCCTGGCTCTTTAATTTCCCCTTCTCCGCAGTGAGGTGAGGTAAGGTAAGGCATGAGGAATCCCACAGACTTTTACCATATGTGCCCCAGGGAATGTAACAAAAATGAGCCAGGAGGGCCTCTGAAACCTATGTTTTCCCAGCCTCAGCATCTCTGGAGCCCCATGAAAATGAGATAGAAAGGCTTTGTCTTCCCCACAGGTGAGAAGTGGAGGCACTGAAAGAGCTGCTGCATTTCTACCTTCTCCCTCGGCTGCCAAACCCAGCAGGGACTTCTCCAACACTTCCCTCCCACGCGCTGCATCTGCATGAAGCCCCGTTGTTTGTAGGAGATGTGCGTTTCCCCCATGAAAACTGGTGCACACCACTAATCTCCATGCAGTAATTTTCAGTGCCAGAAGTAATGCATTATTAATAAAACCATATAATCAGTAGGCTTAAGTTTGGTGAATGCGGCAATGCTAGAGGGTAATTGGAAGGACAGATGATATGTTAACTAAATGTTTAATTTTGCTTAATGAATCATACAGCTTTTTTGCAGTGACAGCTTAAGTAACAGACGTGAAGACCATTTTGCTTCAGACCATTAAACTTTGACAAACCAGTTATTAACTGCAGTTACAGGCAGCAGTCTATGGAGATTTTTGTAATTATGAGCCATACATTTAATTTTTTTAATCATTAGGCTAAACTGCCTGTGCCTGATGATTGACCATTGAGTGACTGAAAATTTCTACTGCTTTGTGGTATACAAAGCCATAAACATCCATTGTAGGTAACAGTAAATCATAAAGGCCACTTGTTGGGAGTATTGATACAAAGCAATAAAAGCCTATAACTATTACACAGGCTTTACTCTTGAAAATAAAGAATGTTCCCCTTCCTTCTCCTCTTAAGGGCAAATGGCTTCCGTGGGCATTATTATGCTAAACAGAAGAAACAAAGCTGCATCACTCTCAAAGAGGTTGAAAAGCTGTGTTTCTTTGAATCCCTCGATCTTTCTGTGATATTTTTGCTCAAAACATCTGTGCTGGCCCTTGCTGCTCTCCCAAAAGGGGCACTGTTGGCCGAGTACACCAACTGTCTCCGAGAGAAAACTATCTTCTGTTCTTCTAATGCAGAACCATCACAATCTCCATAGATTTGGAGATATCAGTCAAACCAATGACACCTTAGGTAGAGCCCCGATATAAAAGTGCTTTCCAAGGATTTTTAGTGGCTAAAGACCAAATGTGGATTTTGAAGTACTTTTTTTCCCATTAGGGCACTAGAAAGACAGACATACACCACATGTGTCTTCATGTCAAAAAAGGAATATAAAGATTTGACCACATTGCTAAGATAAGCAGACTGAGATCTCAGAAACTCACTCAAGGCATTAGTTATGCCAGCAATACATAAAATAATAATTTGCTAACATATTTCAAAGGCAGCAGGCTAGAAGCAAGCTCTTGTAATGCTGCCCCAGAACATGGAAATACAGTATCTAAGATGCAATATGGTTTTGCAGGCAGCTTGTGCTCTGCATATTTGTTTGCTGAAAGATACCTGATGCCTTGGTTATTAACACCTGTGCACTGTCAGACAAGCCTTCTTCCCTTTGCTATGCAAAATTGCTTCCCACTTGAGAAACAGGTACCCTGCAAACAGTGAAAGTCTAAGAGCTGTGTCATGACCAAAAAGTATATGTGCATTTACACCTGCCATGTTCTGGGAAATCCCTATTCTGTTAAATTTTTCATTTTACTGCAAGGAATGGGATGCCCCCAAATTCTGCAGTCATGCTTGCTTCCTTTAGGGAAGTAACTTTCAGGCAGCTGTAAATGGGATGTATAGGGAGGCAACAGAGAAAAACAATATATGCCCTGTATGTGCTATATATATTCTCCTGCAGTGACAAACCACACAGCATTAGGAATTCTAATCTAAAATCTGCATATGAGAGGAAATTAAACAGACAGTCCATCCTGCTGGCATAAAGACTTTCCATCTACAAGGAAACAAGAGATATGTCTACATGTGTCTTTGGCAGCGGTATTTTGCCAAAGGTTTGAATGAGGCATTTTATGATGTTTTTCAGGATTCATTGATTCTCATATAGGTTGTGGTCAGGAGAAACAGGTGAGCTGAAATTAATTAAATGACTGAAGAAGGATGGAAATATATCACCAAACGCAGAAAGTAGGTGTTTTGGCTCTATTATTTCACATTTCCATTTTTATACATTTCCACTCTGAGGAAAAATTCCCCTGCTATAACAAGTTGGCAGGACAGCTTCCTGTCTGTGATGTTTGTCTTCTCCTGCAGCCACCAGCAGCTGGGGTAGTTTAGAGCAATCTTTTAGTTTCTTTGGATTTGCCTTTAGCCCTGAGACATGGTTAGAAGAATTTGGTAAAATAATTAATAAATAATATTTGGCTTACTGGGTAAAAGAAATGTGGTTTCAGATATCCTAAAATGATTTGGGATTTTATTTTTTTCAGAATTCACATGAAAACAAAACCCCCTGAAGTAAAATGACATTCAGCCACATTTTTCCAGCTCTAGCTGGAAAATTAAATCATGCATTACAAATGCAAAATGATAGATTAGTCCTGCAAACAGAACATTTTTCTCTATGCCCTCACCAAAATGGTCGTTTGTTCATCACAGCTCTTCTACTGTGACTGTTCTTTTATTCCTGTTTTAGAGCTGCCTGTGACAACTAAACAGTCAAGTATCCCACCATCCAAAACTCAGGAAGCAGATGCATATTTTCCTGTAACAAATAGGAAATGAATCCCATAAGCTAAGTCTCTGAGTTTTTGTACATATATAAAAATATCAGTCATCTGTGAAAAGATAGTGGGAGTATACTGGAAATGTGATCCCTAATGCTGCTTTTCACGAAGACAGTCCAATAGTAATATAACCACAGCCCTAATCTATCACAATTCTTAATGTCTTTAGGACTTTCTCTTTCTCAGACAATTTGGCTTATTTCTTTCTATTAATTCATACCTTTCACTGCACGCATGAGGTACAAAATGAAACTATCTTTGAAGAACTTTGAGTCCTGTGTCTGATCACTGAAAATTAAGTGTTCCCTCTGATTAACCACAAAGCAGGTCTCAAGTTTGATCCGGCTGACTCAAACTTCTGACCAGAGCCATGATATGGACGCATGTTTCACACAGGTGGGCAGATCGCTGGGAGCCTGGCGGTGATCACCGACGCGGCACACATCCTGGTGGACCTGACAAGCTTCCTGATCAGCCTCTTCTCGTTGTGGCTTGCCTCCAAACCTCCCACCAAACAGTTAACTTTTGGGTGGCACCGAGCAGGTAGCAAATTCGTCACAGTACGAACATGTGGAATGGGAAAGGGAAGTCATCATAGCCAGGGACTGCAAAATGCCAATGTCTGACATAGGTCTGTAGATACTTAGAGATAGTGCACTAATGCTCTCAAAGCCCCCAGGACACATGATAAACAGAGCAAGCCAGTGAGCTTCAAAGAAGTAAAGAGCACAGTCATCTCTTACCTACAAACGTCTTTCAGTTCATTATTTGATATAATTTTGGGCTGGTGCTAGCTTTGGCTGAGACAACAGTGACTTCCCTCAGTAAATTGAGTGTGAGGAGGTCTGAGCCCTCAATCTACCATGAAACACAAAATTCTATAAAAGCAGCAATACTGATAAAAATGAGGTTCTACTCCATTTATAGAATGATAAAGTTAATCATTAAATTATTTTAAAAAGACAACAATGTTATATCTGTAGGCAAGTGAGATCCTTTAACATTTATAATTTTATAAATACTCTCCCTGCATATCTCTTTTTCACTGATGTTTTTTGTCAGATGGAAGCACTGGTAGGTTTCTGAAGTTCTCTGTCCTCAACCAAAATCAATATATTTACGGATGACACCTAATACCAAAAGCCTTACAATGAAGCACAAGTGCTTTTACAAAAGACAAGACACCAGAAAAATATTAACTAGGAGAAAAATTTTCTGGGGATATGATTCTGTTCAAGATTTAGACACCTAAATATCAATGTCTACATGTACGCAAGCACACATAAGCACAGGGTCCAAGTTTCTGATACGGTCAACAGAAATCTAAACTCTGTTCAGCTGCCTAAACACAGAAGTCTAGTGATACATCCCTAGGGCATGGGAATGGCAGCTGTCACACAAGACCCACAGGAGACTGCAGAGGATGCCAAGCATAAGACCAGGGCATCTCAAATCCTACCAGACCCTCATAGTTAAGAAACTAGGATGGGTTCCCAGTCAGTCAATGGAGCAGGAAGCTGTGTGAATCACCATTAATTTGATGACCATTGTCCACAAAGGGAGCTTAGACTCTTGCTCACACCTACCTGTAGAAATTTTAATTTAGTTGTTTCGGTCTGGAAATGAGTCCCATGCTGGGTGTCTTAGAGCTCAATTTAGTTGTTCATATGTAAGTGATTAGTGCTGTTTGAAATGGCCTAACATGTCCCACAAAGTCTGCAGCTGCCACTCTGGAAGTCTATGGGTCATCTACACATCTTGTGTCAAGCTATACATAGAGGTGTCATTGTGTCTGAAATGGCTCTAGACATCTATGCACCCAAACTGAGGACTCAGATGATACATGCTACAAGGATATTCAATATGAAGGTCCAGAAGCAGCTTCTGACTCAGGATGTCTGTAGACCAAGGTTGCTTGTAGCTACAGAATATACCAGGGAAGACATATGCCATACTCATCCTGTCTTTATATTGCTCCTTGAGTATATTCTATCAGCTCTGCTGGAAGCAGGCTGTTGGGTGAGGGGGAGGTTTAGCATGATTGAAGCATAGCTGGCATTATGTAGACAACACACAGCTGAATTTGGCAGCATTAGCAAGCTACTACTTACCATCAGTTGATCTATAATTACTTTTTGTGTTTATGCTTTCTTAGCCTGGGAAGAAAGGAGAGTGAAAGAGCGACTTCTCTCTTGCTGATGTAGGCAGGTTCAGCCACCTCACATAATTTCACCCTCAGTCTGTGTTAGATTTTTTAGTTTTTTGTCATTGCAATGCAGAACTTCAAAAGCAATCTTTTATTGCCTTTTTATCCTGGTAGCAAAGAGAGCCTTGCATCAAATGTCGGTGGCTATTTAATTACATTCCATAATATCCTGTTTCTTGCTTATTTTCCCAGCTACATTTCCAGTTTAATATGCAGGTGGGTGCCTTAATAGAGTAGCTGAGGGCAGTCAGGTGAGTGGCAGAGTCACTGTGCACTGACTATCAAGGTCTAGCTGCTGCAACCCTCCATGACATTGGAAGCTGTTTTTTCACTGCTTTTCTCAGACTGATAGACAGAGTTTATCATGCAAAGACTGTGTATGACTGGACTCAGGTTTAGCAGAAGCCACCTGAATGCCTCCTAAGCCAGAACCAGGCAGCAGAACCAGTCAAGACAGCAGTTCAGTGCAATCCTTTGGGTGTGCAGCTGCTTTCAGCAACATGACTAGAAGCACAATATTGAATGAGACTGATAGTGTGAGTCAGACCTACTTCCAGGTAAGAAAGCTCTCTTCAAAATCAATTTCTTGATCTGTGGTATGATTCAGAGATTCCCAAACAATCGTACACTATTGTTTGCTGCGCTCTGTTAGTGCTAGTAGTTCTGAGGAAATGTAACCAAGAACATCTTGAGTAAAGCATTTAGTACTACTGAACTGGTCTGTAAGCTTAGCTAAACTTTTGCTAAGGTACTACATTGAAAAATAACATGTATTTTCACCTATGTAGGTAAAGATGACCTCTAACATATTCCATTGTGAAGTATATGTACATACGCACACAGATATTCATACAAGTGTTCACAAAAACTGTTGGCCCCTTTCCTGCCAATGATAGCATAGCCATCAACACCTTCAGTTAGGCCAAGTTTGCAGGGTTTCAATCTGTAACTTGCAGAAAATATAAACACCAGGTATTCTTTATGTTAGCTTCTCTCTATCTACTTTTAAGCAAAACTATCAGTGCACTTTCATTTGTTATTTGTCAGTTTTAGACAAAACGGGTATTTTGATAAGCATCTGAAGCCTGGACTGCTGCAAAAGGTGAGACTCTCATAAAAATATATTCAAAGTCATAGGCTGAGTTTCAGCTGCTTTCATGGACTGACATTGGAGGTCTGTACAAGTGCTTTGCGCTTTCCAGCTATTTAATGACTTTCACCTTAATGCGAGCTTTCATTTTCTTTGGTATCGTCTCAGTTATGCTCATAAAGTGCCACATTTACCTATTCAAGTCACATGGCAGTTACTATCCCACATCCTATTAAAAACATGCTGCACGTTCATATGAACATCCCTGGACCTCTCCTGTGGCAGTGCAATAAAAGGTGGCCTTGAGGACTGCATTTATTTTAGCCCAACTCAGAGCCAATAGAGACAAAATTAAATTTTGCTGCTCCAGGGAAGAAATAACTTCTTTTGTCCTCATCACTGCTGGTGGCACAAAAATGATTTTGTGGCATTGGCAGGATGAGTCCCAGGAGAGAGGAAGGAGAGGTTTTGCTGGCAGGACCTTGTTGGGGGCTGTCACTGTTTTTCTGAAGTGTGAAGTGATGAGAGGTGTGCAAAAACAAGGGAGGCTGTTGGAGGCAGATTATGTTGGCCAGTGGGTTTGGGTGAGCTGTGACTTCCTCCTTCCCTCCAACCTCTGCTCCTGTGACCAAGATAATCTTATTGGGGAAGGAGAGTTGGTTCCTGGGTCTTCACACTATACCGGCGGGGCCAGGCAACTACATAAGATGTAAAAGAATTTCTCTTTTATGCTTCCTTCCCATTACAGCTCCTTTTGCTCTTCCCAAAACTCCCCAAATGGTCTTTTTCATCTCTCCAATTTCTCCAAATGCCGCATGAACTCAACACTGGAAAGGGGGCAAAAGTAGGAGCAGGTAGAACAGGGTTAGGCCACTACATGCATAGGGCTGCCCTGGGCAGCCACTGGATTTGCTATGACCAGAAAGGGTTTTGGCCCATTCTTTGTGAGCGTCAAGGCTGCCAACACACAAGAAGTAATTCTCCTGGCCTTATAGCTCACAAACCTGGAACCATTACCATCAATCTCTTAAAATTTCTTGCATTTCCTTATGACTCATGTTAAAATCAAATTGTTTTAATTCCTAGAAATTCTGGGAGCTTTGATGTCTATGCTTATCATTTGGATGGTGACTGGTGTGTTGACATATTTGGCTAGCATGAGGCTGCTACACCCCGATTATGATATTGATGCTACAGTGATGCTCATTACCTCTGCTTGTGCCGTGCTTGCCAACATCCTGTAAGTTACTTTGTTTTCCTCTCCATATAACTTTTGAACCTTGAACTTGCTGCTGTATTTTGATTAAAAATGACAGAGAGATATTGACCTCAAAAATATTAAGTGTTTATGAGTTTCATGAGGATACGGAAAGGGGTAGAGAAGAGAGATCCTGCTTCTCATTGAAGGTTGCAGTTGCTCTCCTCCTTTCTGTTAGCTGCCACACTGGGAAGGGAAATTATGGACGCACCAACTCCAGGAAAAGATTAATCTCCATCTCACTTTTTATTAGATGTCAGAACATTCAAGAACTCTACAGAAAATGAAGCCTCATTAATTACTCCGTTCACAGACTTTCTTGTTTGTATGCAAAACACTGAAACACCTAGGAATTATCTGCTTAGCCACTCTACATTTTTACTGAATGTGTCTGATTTTACTGTTCAGCATTCAGAAGTGAGAGGGGTGATGATGTGTGTGACACCACTGCTTTCAGAAACGCAATAACCCCACTGATATTTTCAACTTTATGTCTCTTGCAGACTAAGCCTGATTCTGCACCAGACCGGCCACGGGCACAGCCATGGGGCACAAGCCAGGGAACATGTGTCAGTCCCTCCGGAAAAGCCAGCTCTGAGCAATGCCAGTCTGCGGGCAGCCTTTGTGCACGCCATTGGAGATCTATTCCAGAGTATTAGTGTGCTAATTAGCGCACTTATCATCTTCTTCAAGGTTAGTTTTATTAGTTCACTTGCCTTCCTTGCAATTAAGGATAACAGTTATTTTCATAGCATTGAAACACTAGGCACTATGTAAATATTTTCTCTGTCTTAATGATATACTTTGTAATTTAGTCAAAGACAATTATACTTATTCTTGGGAATTGAAATGACTGTTGAGAGTGTAACACTTGGTTCTTGGTGTTTCAAATGCAAGGAGGATACTTCGGTGTCTCTCCCTTTCTTTGTCTGTAGTGCTTTCATTCCCTGTGCCAAGGCTCCCTAACTGGCAAAGGATGTCAGCACTCATTCTGTAGTAGATCAATGGAATATATTATTTTTTGAGATTAACTAATTTAAAATGGCAATAACCAACAATGATGAAATTAACAAAGTGATGTGTTCATATTTTTCTAGCCAGAATACAAAATAGCTGACCCAGTCTGCACATTTGTGTTTTCCATCTTTGTTTTGGCAACCACCATCACCATTTTAAGGGATATTTTGATTGTGTTAATGGAAGGTAGGACCTGATTCCAGAATCAATACAATTATAGTTTGATTTTTTTCTCTCTTTCTCCATAATACTTGTATTTGCTGACAAAGGTATAATAGCACACTTCTGTATCAGTTTCTAATATTCTCATAATTCTGATCATACTTTAAATGTAATTAGAATTTTAATCAAAACTGTTTTCTACCATTGCACTAGAAGATTTATACATATGCCAGTTTTCATAAAAACCTGTGTACTGGTGTTTTGTTAATGAACTCCTGATATGCTCCTAAAACTGAGTTGCTTTTACTTGTCGTATGTAACATTGCTTTTTATCACCCTTTTGGCATATGAGATGTGCACTCACTTTGTTCATTTTGTAATTCCTTTACCCATGTGAAATACAAGTCTTTTTGCCAAAAAAAAAAAAAACCAACAAAAAACAAACAACAAAAAAACCCCACTGCTTTGAACTGTGTCTGTGAAATAGGCTGAGTGCATGAGGCAGAAGTTTAAGAGATTTTTAGTTACACTAGTCCAGAAAAGCAAGCCAATGGAGCTTTCCAGTCATGTTCAGGTGCAAGGGAATAGAGAATTCTCAGCACATCAGCAGCAGGAAGAACTAGGCTTAGCAATATTTAATCCTGTCAGCTATGGGCCTGATTATTTGATTTGCAAGGCCAAATGGCTTGAGCAGTCATAGATGCATGTTTTTGCCGTCTTTACACTGAACGACATAATGCAACTTTTCTCAGCTATGAGGACATAAGGATTGAAGGGGAAAGTAGCTCTAACAGTGTAGGTTTTGAATGGATATGAGTTACTCAGTGTGACTGGCTGCATGGCTATTTACTTCTCTCTTTCACTTTGCACCTATTTCTGCTTAGGAGAGAAAATTTCCAATATTATTTTACAGTAAATCTTCATTCTAGGGTTAATTTGCCTTCAGTGATTGTGAGATAGAGATACATTTGTATAGAAGTGTACCTAGACAGAGTCCAGCAACTGGCTGTATCTTGGCTGCCAAAAAATCAGAAGATCTCTTGATTACTGAAAAAAAATCAAACTACCAGGAAGGCCTGCCAGCCCCGGACACTCAGGGGGTCTCTTTCTCAGAGCAGTGATGCCCAGCTTCCATAAGCGGCACTGATATGCGAAAATTGGCAATGTTCTGTTCCCCTCTGCAGCAAGCCCTTTTACTCTGTTCTCATGGGGAGGTCTCTGAAGCCAGTCTCCTACCTCCTAAGTGGCATATTCTGCCCAGAATTTTCTAAAGAGAAATTGGATGTTGGAGATGATACTGGAGGCAGCTCTTACCCCATGCATCCAGTCTGTCCCAGGGTGTCAGCCCCACAGCCCCTGAGACTGACTGTGTCCTGCAGGCACTGACTGTCCATGGTTTTCTTTGAAGAGCATGTGCACGTCAGCATCATATTCTACTAAGTCAGTACCCCATATAGCATACCATTGTCGTAATAAACAGATAGGACAAAGCATACAACACTGAGGTCATTAATGATTACAAAAATTATCAGTTATGGTATGAAAGACAAAATTAACTAATATTGTGCCTACCATTGTTATACTTCATAACTGGTGGCATTAAAAATATTTTTCAGTTTACAGATCCAAGTGAAGCTTGATGAACACAGCTGTTAACGCGGGCAGAGAGGTGCATTGCCAAAATCCCAGGTCTCACTCCAGGGAAGATCTGTAATTAAATTTCTTGGTCAAATTTAGATTTAGATTAAACTCTGAATTTCATGTTGCAATTCACCCTATCACAATTGTCCTGACTCTGAATGAGGGTCATCACTATCATCATCTTTTGTAAGAAGGCTCATCTAGGAAAACAATCACTGATCTACTCAATAACTAGACCTAGGATCTAATCTCATCTAAGATTCCCGAGTCAAACCACTTTAATCTTTATGTTTGTCTTTCCCTTTCTGCTAAACAGATGCTTCTCTGTTGTGTGAATGTACTGAGGACAGAATCCCTCAGAGGTACTCAGGTGGTGCCATAAAATCTGCACTCACAAAAGATGTTGGTGCAAACCCAGGACATAGTCTGGCTAAACAGCTCACTTCCCTATGAAACTGGACCCTCAGAACATCTCCTGAGACATGCATAAGTCTCATTATTCCACGGAGAAGTATAAAACAGTGAATAGGACTAAAATTCACAGTGAACTCTGAAATAGACAGGCTTTCCAAAGCATTGAATATTTTAATAAAAATTTTACATTTAACAATAAAGGTTCTTGATGCGTCTTCCTCTAATGATCATCATTTTTATATCTTCAAATATTTTTTTTGCACCAATTTCTCCTTTTAAGGAACATCGAAAGGATTTGCGTATGATGCAGTGAAAGCAAGAATTTTAGCAGTTGAGAAAGTGGAATCTGTTCACAACCTTCATCTTTGGTGTCTGACAATGAATCAAACTATTATATCTGCTCATGTTGCCACAGGTCAGTAAATTTCTGTAAACAGGGAGTAAGTATTCAGCTGCTGCCTAGTAAAGGTCAGTCTCTCCTGATTGGAATACAACTGACTGTATATCTGTTGCTTGTTAAAACAAATGTCATCATTTTGTTTGAAAAATAACAACACCAACAACTACAAAAGAAGCTCTCAAATCCTCCTCCCAAAAGTCTTGCCAAAACAACAGGACCTCTATTTAACCCAAAACTTGAAAACTGCAGAGGTTGTGGAGCAAGTAAACTACAAGATATTTTAAATAAATTAGAAGAATTAGACCCAGGTTTTCTCACAATGTCAAATAGATTTTAGAGTGGATTTGTCAAACTTGAAAACTGTTGATCCTCATGAGAAAAACTTAAAGGGCAAATCTGCATTCCTCATCACTTCTAGCTGTAAAACAATCTTTAAAACACAGCTTGTAGCATAGAGGTAACTCCAGGGGAACAGTTCATCTTTAAAAAGATTTTTTTTAAATGTAGTCCTTACCCCTGTTGACAAATTGTCCACTACCTAGATCAATTTTCTTGTTTGTCTGTTTGCTTTGTACATATTAAGGTTTATTTAAGAAAAAAATTCCACCAATGTTTGGCCAAGAACAGGTTCAGAGGCAAAGTCCTTCATGGAGTCCCCACTTCCCCAAAAGAGTGGGTCTATCAGCCACCTGAATCACTTGGCACTGTTGCTACTCCCTGATTGGATGAACTAATCTTTATTATGTATTCTTGCTTTCCTCCAGTCTTCTGCCAAACTGAATTTCTTTGGTGATTACTCTTAGATCAGCTCTTGCCAAAATTGCATATTCCGACCACATTTGAACGAACAAACATTTGCTGACATGCAGGTTCCGGAAAGGAGGATAAAAAGGACAAGAAACACTTCTCAACATCAAAGTTCTTGTTAGAAGTTCGCAAATAGTTTCTGTCAGTAAACACTTACTCTTCTTTAAAGTATCATATATGCATTTTGACTATTTCCTCTTGCTATCTACAGCAGACAGAGCCGACAGCCAGAAGATTTTGAGAGATATTACCCAAGCCCTGTTTGAGCACTACAGCTTCTGCTCTATCACCATTCAGATTGAAACGAGAGAGGATCAGAAACAAGACTGCATCTTCTGTCAAGAGCCCAGGGATTAAAGGGAGAAGTATGCTATGCAAAATGACGATCACCTCTCTTACAGGTCAATGGAGACTATATGTGCTGGTTGTATGTAGTCGATTAACAACAAATGGTAATTAACTGAACTAAAAAGCCCTGCCATTATGAGCAGGGCATGGACCTTTATTTGTTGGTACCATCTACCAGGAGAGAACATGTATTAGGTCTGTCCATCAGCTAGATTACCTGTCCATCAGCAGTTACTTTCAATTGCAAGAGAAAGTATCTAAATTATTCTTGACTAGAGCAGCAGATTGGCACTAAAGCAACATTTAAGAATGCCTGTTTGTAATCACAGGTAACAAAAAACTAATCAACCTTCAAATTACCAGCAGACCAATTATCACAAAGTGTAATGAAATGTAAGTTGGGTGTTAGCAAATCTCAACACTTACTCAGGATAAAAGAGAAAATTTAAATTAGCACAAGGGATGAAGAGATCTGGGAAAGAAAGACATGGTGGCATGTGCTTTCCCTGCCTTTTGGCAGACACTCCTCCTCCTGTATATTAAGTGAAGTATCAGATGTGTGCCATATTCTGCAGCATGAATGACAAGAGGATTCACTCCATTCACATTTGGCAACTAGCTCTTTGTTTTTTAGCTAGCCTGATCTATTTTTCAGCTAGCCCTCAGCCAAACTCTTTTCCGCCAGACATGGGTAGTATTCTCTGTCATCAAGACAACCCATAATTTGTATCGCACTGCATCATGTAAAGTTGTGATGGAACATTTGCAGTGGATTTCTGGGTGTCCATGTCACAAGGTACCACTGGGTTGTGACAATAAAACAGACCAGGTGGTTTTAGAAAAGGAAAAAATAATTAGGACAAGGAAAGACTGTGGGCCATTGTGAACATCACGTCTAGTGTCCTTCATAGTGTGGCCTGTGGAGTGTAAAGCTACATGCCTGAAGTTATATCAGATAATTAAAAAACCCTTTGGCATATCACATGGCTATTCACTGTACAGGGAAGGGATGTGTCTCTCCTTCAGGCAGCTAATTCCTGAATTCCTTAACAGGATGTGTTAAATCTTCCCCTTCAGCATACCTGGCAATGGTTACTGCAGAATTGGGAACAAAAAGTCAGGTCTTCCAGCAGTGCCCCTATTTTTGTTCAATCAGCTGAGTTAAACTCTCACCTCTTAACGAAAACAAGGGTTGCACTTCAAAAGGCATGCTCAACTTGTTCTTCACAAAACAACTTCAATTCTGCCCTTGGCCATAATAGTGCAGCTTCACTTGGCATGCAGAGCTAGACGTAATGTTTTCCCACTCCACAGTCCTCACTCCCACGGCTGTAGGGCTCATTTTATTAACAGGTTTGTTAGCACAGAATAAAGTATGCCATACCGAGCGGTACTGAGTCTCTAGGCTGACAGCTGGAAAAAGCATTGTGTTATTAGGGTATAAAGAGGCCTTGCTTTTTAGGGAATTCAGTTTTATTTGCAATAGGTTCACATTAGTTTTCTACTTTACCATTCTAAGGAGATTAGAATTTATTATTAGGGGCATTTGGCTATGGATAATACATAACTATAGGATGATATATTGATGTATTAAGCTGGCATTTGTTACCTGGTAGGGGGAACAAGAAATTATTCTGCTTTGTGGAGGAATCCCAGAAGTTCTTAGTCAGGTAAACCTCCCACTGAAATCAGATAAGGTATTAAAATACAATACCCACTAAGAATTTCATAAGTATCTCATTATTTATTGGCTTGAAAGAACTGAGAACATAGCAGTGGTATTCAATACAGTGATAAAGACAACTCCTGCCCTTTACAGCTGGAACTCCAGAAGACAAGACACAGATAAATCAAAGCACAGTAAGAAACCCTAAATAAAGAAATTAACTTGTATTTTGGCCATTTTCTCTGCTGGTGTAATTTAGCATAATTGCCTCCTACCAAAGGCAACTCACCTGTGCTTGTTAAGTAACCTGAGCAGCCTTTTCATTAATTGGGGAGGACAAGTTAATAGTGTGGCCTTCATATGAAAAAACTGTCCTTCAAAATGTTTTCATAAGATGAGGATAAAGACCCTGGATATAATAGGGAATTTTGGGGAACAGTTTTAGAGTCAAGGACAATGTAAAACATAATGAGTGGGTGAGAGAAGCATCCATACGGGACACAGATTCAGTTCTGAGATTTAAGCTAGAGTGGAGATAAAGACCAGAAGTTTAAGAGCAAGTGTTGACCTTCGAAAAAATTTAAATAGACAAGTGACATGGTCCACCAAGAAAGCTACGCTGAGTAGGAGAGCTATGAAAAAGCTGAATGGAAGCAACACAAGAAGGACTGGAAAAAAGAAGATTCAGCAGCCAGGACCAGGCCAGAAGAGGCTATTGTCCAAACGAATTGAAAGGATAGGGAAGTCCTTCACTACGTTTTGGAAAAAGGAGCAGTGAAATATAGAGACATGAGGAAAGAAGGAGTTAATCCAAAATAATGATCCTTAATGAAAGGGAGTGAGGGAAAGTCATAAAAAAGAATGTTTAAAAAGGAAGTGAGGTAGCAGCTGCCATCCACAGTAATCCCAATGATCCATCAGGCCCTCAGAATGATAGCCTGGGTATATGAGTGGTAAAGGCCAGGGCAGGAATGGGGAGGAAGAGGAGAAGTTTGGGTTTGTTAGAAGCAGTAGACCTTGTATTTCAGGTGAAAGAATTTAACCATGTATCTTTGACAAAAGCTAGAGACAGTGCAATTGTCTCTGCTTTCTTTTGTGGAATTTACTCTAGCAGACCACTGTAGCAAAAGTAACACAATGGCTTGTGAAAACCTAAGGAAATGTTACTGAAATATGATAGATTGAAGATGAATTTAGAGCAAATATTTACCTGTAGTTATGAATATTGCTACAAGGAGATGAATCTTTAATGCTCCCACTATGTATATGAATGCAAAATGTGTATTTGTTCTTATTCCCATCTAGTCTGATCCTCAGGGATATTTTCTTGGTACAAGGTTGTTTTCAGAATACTGTGTGACTGACTGGGGAGGATATCTGCAGAAATGCTACTGTGATATGCAGAGGCCAGGGCTGAGAAATTCAGAGACAATTTCTAGACTTCTCTGTTTCTATTAACTTTACACCCTTTTGATTTTCTACAGAATTACTGTAAGAAAATTGACAAAAAAATGCTATCTCTAAATCATTCTTGGAGCTATTGTCAAACAGAAAAGTATTTGTCATGTAAGTGGTCTGTTTTCCACATCTGACTTTTTTGGTGGAGTGCATGCACATGGGCAAGTGCATGGCTTTACTGGCTAGCACTGAAATTTTATGTACACAAGTATATTCATCTTCCTCTAAATTTTAATGTAGTCATTCTGCAGCTTGTAAATTGTATAGTTCTCCATTCCCCAAAAAGCACTCTCTCTTTTTCACTTTCCACAACCAAAATCTAACACATTGAGCAGAGCCTGAGAATAAGGAATTTGTAGAAGTTCAAGACTTTTTGGAGTAGAAACCATGAAACAGGCAAATGCAAAGCTAAACTTTTCTTATTCAGCACAGACAAAGGGCCTAAGTGCCAATATTATGCTGAGATGACCATCAAAGAAAGACAGAAATTTTTGTAATTATTCAAAATGGAAACAGTTAAGGCACAAATCTGTCATTACCATCAATGGAATAGTCCCTTACTGTAACTATAGCTGTAGACATCATCCTGTGTTCTTCTGTTTGGAATGTGAAGTGATTATGAAAATTGGACATGCAGTCAAGGATTATATTGCCTGCTTAGTGTGAGACATCATGACAGTAATTCATCATATCCAGAGGAAGGCCAAACAAGATGTCCCAGTCCTGTCCATGGCAGCAAATGGTGGCCTAAGCAACAAGGACTGTGTAGGTCTGCAATATCATTCTTACCAAAGTCAAGCGGTTACATCAAATGATTTTGGCTCTGAGCGTTTCTCCTCTGTTGTAAAAGCTAGCATGCACCAACACACCTTCCTCACTGCCTTCCCCTCAGCCATAGCAGTTGTGCTCTCCTTCCTTTTTCATCCCCTTCGACTATTGCCCCCTTCTAGTCTCTGCTCTTCTATTTTTCCCCATTTGTCTTTTTTTAGCAATGCTTCAACTGGCTGCCTGCTCAAATTTCAATGCCAGCATGATATTTGTCACATACCCTTTCTGTTTACAGCCCTTCCCATTCCTCTTCAACCTGTGTGGTTAGATAAAAGCTCCTCAGAAAGCAGCTGCCTTTTGCTCCATGATTGTTGAAAACATGGTATAATGAACCATCTTTTTTCATTTGACTCTATTGTAAGCACATAATAACAGGAACTTAATAAAAACAAAGAACAACAGCCGTTCCAGACATCACGTATTGGCCCATGTCAAGCACCGCTATATATTTACTTTGTATTAAAGTTATTTAGAAATTTCACAGCCAAAAAATTATCTAAGCTGGTGCCAGCTTAAGGTACTCTTTCATTTTCTCAAGCCTGCTGATAATCTCTTTCAGTTGAGAAAAATAAAATCCTTTCCCACCTGAGTACACACAGTTTTAGCAAGAAAGGAATTAGAGACATCCAGTTGCTTAACTGCCTCCTTCGACTTCTCTCTGCTTGGACTTTGTGTCAGACGGACAGCGTCTAGCAAGAATGCACTGCAGCAGAGGAAGCATTGGAGAGGAGCCCAGTGAGACCAGTGGCTGGACTGGAAGCACAACAGAGTGTTTTTTACATAGTTACTAGTGCGCATTCAGAATTTTCCATCCCAGGTGTTATGCTGATGAGAAACGTGTCTGCTTTTCACTACAATTTGCGGTTTGACTTTTGATTTAAAAAAAAAAAAAAAAAGGATGAAAAGAAATGAGTAAACTGAAGTTAGAAGGGTTGTATTGTGAAACATTCCTGGTGGCATCAGAGGCGTTTTACCCCACGACTTGCACTCTTCTCTAACAGCAGGGCTCTATAGCTTTGTCTCCCAAACTGTGCTGCTGCATGCTCTGCTGTGATGT